CTCAGAAATATTACATCTTCAAAGTTTGGCTAAATTATCATCATTATGAAGTCTTTATAAGGCCAACCCAAAAGTTCCCATGGTACATTCTCTTGTACTAACTTTATAACACTTAGCATTTTGTATTATAAATTGAGCATCCCTTGATCCCAAAATGCACCAAAATTCAAAATTTTTTGAGTTATTGACATTGATGCTACCAGTTTGATAGCTCAGTGTACACAGAATTTCATATACAATATTAAGAATGTTGTATGAAGTTACCTTCAAGAATATTGTATAAAATTATTTTCAGGCTATAAGGTATGTATGAAATATAAAATAATTTTGTGTTTAGACTTGGGTCTCATCCCCAAAATATCTCATTATCTATATACAAATATCCAAAATTTAGAAAAAATCAGAAATCTGAAACACTTTTGGTCTCAACCATTTTGTATGAGGGATATCCTGAAATTCCAGTAGCTGTAAATATTTTTCTGGATTATTCCATATGTCCATCATGGTTGTTAGGAAAGGGAGCATTCTGTTCTAGCTAGGCATTCAGGAACTGAGCACAATGATGTCTTTGCCAGCTTCTAGCTGTGCCCATCTGAAACATGTGTTCTCCTTGCTCACCATGGCAAGTGTAGAGAGCTAGAGATTTGCATAAGCTTTTCTGTTGATTTGTAAATGATATTGTTTTTAAACAATACTTTCATCCACAGTTCATCTAGAACTAGTTCTTTGAACCTACCTGATCTTAAGAGGACATGGAAATGTAGGGGAAAAGATAGAATGCTGGGCAAGTACCATCTTCTCTTCAGCAAATATTTATGTGTCCTTACTATGTACCAGGAACTGTACTAGGCCATGGAAATTAAAATAGAAAAGAAAAATCCTGTTCTCAAGGAACTTGTATTCTATATTCCAATTTAGTTTATTTATTTTAGCAGTATCTGGGATTGAACCCAGGGTCTCACATATGCCGGATAAGCACTCTACCACTGAACTACATGCTCATTCCTATTTTTATGCCTTTTTGAAGGACAACTTTTGTATCATATAATCCCCGCATATCCTAACAAAAGAATACATAATAATGGTTCAGTAGATAAATATAAATAAATATATATAACTTTTTGTGCAGGTGCCTATACTTTACAGTTAAATACAATGAATACTCATGACATAAATTTAAGTTTGCCTTAATTTCAAATGTAAAATCAAGCCCTCAGCTTGTTGTCTACACAGGTGAATATTGAACTCTTCAAGAAGTTTTGTTAAGTATAAAGAAAGTTGCTTCTAGATAGAGTAAAAGCTTTTGCTCATGATTCTACCCCAAACAATTATAAACTCCTAGAGAATCAAACTCTTTCATTTTTAATACAGTATTATGGAACTAAATCTAGGCAGTTCAGAGCCTTAATGAATTAAAGTAAGCATTCATTTATTTGTTAAATATTTATTAAACCTCTATGATGGGACAGGCAATATATAAAAGATGAAGGGATGAATATGATGTTTATATTCGTAGGAAATATGTAACTCCTGTTTAGGTAAACTGGAGTTTATTCTGGACTCAAAATGACTTTTTTTTTTTTTTTTTTTTTTGAGGAGAGAGGTATTTTCTCTTCTAAATACAACAATTGTGTTCTCTTGAAATAACCTCTAAGGAAGAATGGGAAAGAAGAAAGATTGGAAACAGTTGATCTTGTTCAACCGCTTTTTGAGTGACTGATCCCCTTTAGAACTTAAATAACAGTCACCTAGTCTTTTCTGGAATACTACCTCCTGAGTCCGTCTATTTTATTTTTACCAAATCTTAATTACCAGAAAATGCTTCCTTGTTTGTCCAAAAGTTTTATCAAAACTTCCATCTCTGAAACTTATGTAGAATTCACACCATTCTTTCCTGCAGTAACCCTTAAAATATTCTGAGGTAGTTATCAGGTTATCCCAAATCTTCTCATCTCCAATCTGTTACAAGATACAGAGAGTTTCAAGCTGCCTCACCATTTGATCACTTTTCTTTTAGAGTCTTCTGTTTGTCAGTGCATCTGAAAGTGTGATATCCCATGCCATATACAAGGATAGTTGAAACAAAGTAGTTATTTAGTACAGTGGAACTTTTTTAAATTATAGGTTTGTTAGTGAAGTAATGCTTTCTGGAAAGCACATATGTAATTATAATTTGAAAATACAAGTAGGATAAGAAAAAAAGAAAAAGCATGAGGAACATTTAAATAAAATGGAACAAATGGAAGACGCTCTGCCTTCAACCAATAGTGAATGAGACAGGAATGTATGGAAACTCTTGGATTAGCTGGAAAAGGTTAAGTTGTTCAGTGCATTGCAGCCCTCAGATGAATGTTGTTTGGGATCAAATAGGTATTTTAAAGAAGAACTTTTTGTGGAATTGTGTGCTATTGCAAAAAGAAGAAACATTAGTAGAGAAATGTTCAAATTTGGCAAGACCACTAGAAGGAAGTTGCTGTTACCCAGCAACAGGTCTTTCCATTGAGACAAGAAGGATATAGATAGAAATCATATAAGCAGCAAGATACAGGATTTGGCCAGAGGCATTTGTTGAAGTATAAATCATTAAAAACTTACCCTTTTGGTAGACAACAAGATTCTAGTCAAAATGATAAAAATATAAAGCCTAACTAGGCACAAAACATCATTCTTCAGTGTTTCCCAAACATTGACAGTTATCGTCACAGTGATTTCTCTGAGTTAGGTAATTTTATTATCCCCATTTTATGAATGAGAAAATTGACCCATAGAGAAGGAAAGTGATTTGCTGAATGTCATATAGCTAGTAAAATGGCAGAGCTGGGATCTTCATCTGGGTAGTCTGGCTCCAAAATCTGTCCTCTTAATCATATCTCACTGTACTATACTATGATGATTGATTTCAACCTACCTCCTTTCACCTCTCATATATAACTAACCTTTGCCCTTCTTTTTTTTGCATGGTGCCACATTTCCTACTCCCCTCAAGGAGCCAATGCCTTCCTGGCCTTTTCTTCTTCCCTACTATTAAAACCTACTCTGTGGAAAGAAGCTAATAAGCTCATTCATTCATTCACACCAAGGTATAAATAACTGATATGGCTTAATATAAAATAATACTCCTCCAGGGTTGAATTTTTTAAGGGGGGTGGGGAATATTAAGGGATGATAAAACTTTAACCCAAAACCCTGTTGAAATTTAAAGTATATATGGGCATGGGAGAATGAATAAGTTGGGTGCATGACCTTCTGTGCTTTTCAAGTTACACCACTGTTTAGCTGGCCCAGGACTGTGGGAACCCTTCTAGTAGAAATGAGGTAGAAACATAAAAATGAGAATGAAAAGAATAAAGAAACATCTTTACTATATTTATGCAATGATTTTAGAAATACCTTATTATTTCCCTAATTCATTATCAGATTAATAATAAGAGTTCTGAAATAATCCAAAGAGACATAGAATGTAGAAGAAAGCTTTGACTTGGATATAGTCATAGATGAAAAGAGATAATTCCAATCTAGGGCTTAAGTGCTCATGTATTTACTTCTGATCTGGGTGGTGTCAAAGATTGGTTTTATTTCTTTATTTTCTGCAGAAATAACCTTCTCAGATGGATCTATGATATATCTGCCTTAAAAATCTTAAGAAATCTTAGAGTCTAGTAATGTTACCCTACAGTTATCTTTGATACCTTTCTTTTCTTATTCCATATTAATCATCAAGTCTTTCATTTCTTTCTTTATAAGGTTTTTCATATATTTCAATCTAGTTGTGTTCAGTTAACACTTATTGCCCACTCTATGGCAAGATACTTGCACTGGGTATACACATATTCCTATCTCAAATGTTCTATCTTCTAGGAAAGAATACAGCATTATATATTCATAAAAGTGTTTAAGTACAGAAGTAGCATACAGGAGAAGATATTGCTTGAACAGTTTTCAACTATGGAAAGTAGTTTGCCAGAATAATGGTGGGGGAGCAAAATCACTTCAGCTAGAGGGCAAAGCAAATGTAGTCATGGAAACACAGCGTGAACTGGTAGCTACAAGTGTTGTTGCTATAGAATATGAAGTTTAAGTCAAGGCATATAGGGAATATGTTTTACTTTTTTTTTTCATTGTTAGGATCATCATATACCTAAAGCATCAATTTGTTCATTTTCATGTCTGTGATTATTTAAGGCCTAGTCGTTTGGGGGCACCTTGCTGAAGTCTCTTACCTATGTGCACTCATTGAGACTTTAGCCACTATATCTTACCTAAGTGTGTGCATTATGTGTCCTCAGTCCTCAACCCTCCATTATTATAGTTTGTATCTAAAGGTGATGGAAGGAGGAGGATGACTTTTCATTTATATCACCATGTTCATATTTGTTTTATCATCAGATCTGCACATAATAATTTTGAAAATATATTGGAGGTAAGGGACTAATATGAAAATAGACTGAGTGCTGCCAAATAATTCAGTTCAGCAAATGAGTTTTTCTCTGTCTGTCCATCTAATAGTGTGATTTCAAGAAAATGCCATATGATGGAAGAAAACAGGAAGTGTAAAGCTCCTTTTCATATATGAGAGAAAAGAGTTTACTTAAATTTATACTCATGCAGTTTCTGGCTTTAATTCTTTTTTTTTTTTTAATTTTTTATTGTTGGTTGTTCAAAACATTACATAGTTCTTGATATATCATATTTCACACTTTGATTCAAGTGGGTTATGAGCTCCCATTTTTACCCCATATACAGATTGCAGAATCACATCAGTTACACATCCATTGATTTACATATTGCCATACTAGTGGCTTTAATTCTTCAGGAGAAAAAACTTGTAGAGAAGTGTTTATTCAGTTTTTTGTGTTCATCATAAAATTTGAAAATATATATTAAAAAAAAGAATGCCTACTTATAAAATGAATATACTGCTTTAAAAGGAAGTTATAGTGAAAACACTGACAAAGCAAACTGATTTGTATGTTAATTTACTTACAACTTCTTTTTTTAAGGATGCTGGGCAGTTTTATGCTAAATATAAAGAAACAAGATTGAAGGAAAAAGAAGATGCACTGACTAGAAATGAACTTGAAACACTTCCAAGTGAGTTTTAAAGATTCTCTTACTTTGTTAACAGTGTCATATAAAACTGACTAAATTTGGATTGTCTTTAAATTCATATTCAGCAGTCATTAAATTTTTTATGATTTCTTTACCACTTTCCAATAGACTCACTTGTACTTAATGTATTGTGCATAGAAAAATTCTTTATTACTAAACTCAAAGTCCAAAATCCAAAGGAGGGATAAAATCAATATGGAGTCACACAACTCTTCAAGTATGGGGTCTTCCAAAATCTACAAAGTCCTATTATATTCAGTACTATGATTATAATTGATTTGGGGGATGGGCACTAGGGAGTGAACCCAGGGGCACTCTACTACTGAACTACATCCCCAGCCCTTTTTATTTTTTATGTTGAGACAGAGTCTCACGAAGCTGGAGAGGCTGGCCTTGAACTTACCATCCTCCTGCCTCAGCTGCCTTAGTTTCTGGGATTACAGGCATGCATCACCATGCCAGGCACAATTGATATTTAGTGCCAAATCTAACCAACTACCGTATATTTTAACAGTACTGTACAATGCTATAGCATTGTTTTGAAAGTCTTTGTTCCGTTTGCAATATTGTTGTATGATGTGAGCAACCTTGAATAAATGATCAGCATATTATAAAGAAATCTTCCATTGAATACTAAAGATAGTTCTTCCTGATTTTAGGAAAAGTTGAACATACTATTAAAGAAGACATTTTCCAACCCCTGGTCCTTTTATCTAATTTTAGCTTTTCTTTATCTTTTCCACACATAAATGCTCTGTCTCTTTACATTGCTTTATTTTATCCAGAGCATCTCATACCACTTAACATTATTTATTAGTTTTGTTTACATCTGGTTTCTTCCAATAAAATATAAGCTCCATGAGGGTAGGGACTTTACATGTGTTGCTCACTCCAAATTTCAGGGGTTAGGGCATAGTAATTTTTAAGGTGCTATTTTTTGTCTACAATATTCCTTCGTGTTTCTAGGCAGCTTTAAGGACTGTTTTTTATATTGTGTCTGCAGCATTGAATAGTGTTCTGGCCCATAGCAAATGTTCAGTAAATGGATGAATGGATTATGAACTGTAAATAAGTATAGTTCCATGTATATTTATAAATGTCATCTAAGCATCTAGACAAGTTTCTAGACAATTACAAAAGACAATTACAAAATAATATTCATGTCAGTTATATAATTCTTTAAAGCAAACTTCTGTTGAGAGAAGAATTAGGATAATAGAAGATTACATATTAAGGTTGGCAGATGCATGTGGTGGGAAGAAATGGGCAAATGAAATTACAAATGTAATTTTTATATAATTGTTTTTAAGTAAGATAGTACATAAATATTTTCAAGCCTTTCAGATTCACCAAAAGTAAAAAAATCACATTAATAAAAAAGAGAAAATATTAAACTAACCTAGATTTTACCTGTAGAGAGAGTGTGAACACACTATATTTCATAGCTTCATATAATTTTTTGTAACAAACCAGTTATTACTTTTCAATTTTGGCATATGTTAGAATTGTCTAATGATAATGAACTAACTATACATATGGCCTGTATGAGAATACAGGTTAAATATGAAATACTTATCACAATGAAAAAGCTCCTTCTGAAGTTTGTAGTCATTTTTTTCTAAAATTGTTCAAAGATTTTTGTTTTTGTTGCTTGTGGTATTTGGGCCTCATGTATGATAGGCAAGGGCTCTACCACTAAACTGTATCCCCAGCTATATTCAAAGACTTTTGTTCTAAGAATTTGATTAAAATTCTAAGATTTTAATAATACTTTTATTTTGTTCCTTAATTTAAAAATGTGAAGGAACACAAAATCTTAAATAAGTATCTGACAGCCCTCTCTGTTCTTCAGTAGATATATAATAGTCTTCTAAAACATTTGAAAATTTATTACTAATTTATCAGTTATTGAAACTCAGAATAGAATAAGTAAATGTAATAAAACATGTAAAACAATACTCATACTAGGCTCTAGGTAATGAGACTGCTGTTTCTCTCTCTCTTTTTATTTTCCTATTAGTGATAGATTTGGAAAAGGTGATGGTATCAACATTAAGAATGGTAAAGAACAGTCACATTCACTGTTAACAATGTCAAAAATTGTCGTGTGTATTTTAATGTAGTCTCTAATGGTTACATGAAAAGAATATTTTAATTAATTTTGTTAATTTCATTGTAGTGTTCTGTATTATGTACTGTAGAATTAATACATAAAGGAATCCCAGAACCTCTAGTGTGCATTTCATTTGCCCCTATCCTCCTTAGTTTTAAGACTATCATTGGAATACTGAGTTCATAATAATATTTCTATCTATTTAATTGAGTTAGTGCAACTCAAGCAGATTAAGTTAATTTTCACCATCTAACTGCTATTCTTCCCTCACATCTATCTGCTTTACTGCTTGTGGTGCAGTATTCTCAGAGGCTTGTATCAGAACTACCTTCAGTAGGGTGTGGTGGTCTTATTAAAATGATATTTCAGAGGAGGGGGAGTGTAAATAGGGTAATTTCTTAAAAATAAATATCCTTCTAAGAAATCTTTGTGCAAAAAAATTGTCAATCTCTGGGAAATGTTTGGCACTTATTTTTATGAACCTTTAATCAATTTTATAAGTTTAAATAAATAAATATTTATAAGAATATAAATATTTTTTGAGTATTTGGGATATTTTTATACATTCTCTATTTATGTGAATTTCATCCTTAAATCACTTTTTAAAAAGTTTTCTGTGTTGGGGATCAAACCAGGCAAATGATTTACCATGGAGCTATAATTCCCTGTCCCATTCTAAATCAATAGAAGTCAATTTTTAAGAATTAAAAATGAAAATGAAACAATTCATATCATGAATGGAAAATTCATTTATATATGTACATATGTATATACACATATATATGTGTGTATATATATGTATTTCTATATGTAAGTCTATATATTTTTCTTTATCTTTTTGGTACTAGGGATTGAACCCAGGGGCACTCTACCACTGAGTCCCAGCATTTTTTTTTTTTTTTTTTTTTTGAGACAGAGTCTGGTTAATTTGTCAAGGCTGACTTTGACCTTGCAAACCTCCTGCCTCAGCCTCCCAAGTAACTGGAATTACAGGCATGTGCCACCAGGTCTGGCTCATTTTTTAAAAAGTTTTTAAATTTACACATAAAAATTGCACATATTTATGGGATACCATGTGATGTTTTGATACATGTATGTATTATTATATATGTTCAAATCAGGGCAAATATCTATTTTCTCAAATGTTTTTTATTTTTTTGTGGCAAAAACATTCAAATCCTTTCTTATTAGCTTTTTAAAAATAATACATTATCAATGAATGCAAAATAGATGTTTAGCTCATTTTATAGAGATATTGTCTGAAAAGGTCATTATTTGAATAGATAAAAGAAAAGGTAGAAGTAAAACTTAGTAATTCCTTTGCTCTTTTCTCTATAACTTTTATGATTTTAAAATTACAAAAGTTATCAAATCCTCCTGCCAAGTACATCTTTATATGTAAAAATACTGTTTTCGACATTAGTCATGTTTTGCTGCTTGTTTTGTGCACCCCGTTGCATGTTCCAGTGGTGGACCTAAGTTGGTTACCAAGGAGACACAAAGTAGGATGAGACATTTAGTGACAGTGGGGACAGAATATGCCTTTTTAGTGTCTCAGGATGAGAGAGCATTCACCTTCCTTAAGATAAAGAATATTCGTTTCCTAGAAAACTTGGGTTCATGAAGAAAGGAGATGCTGATGCTGATGTATAAATTAATTCACAGGTTAATGAGAAAGAGGAAAAAAGAGGCTTGGCGGGGAAGTGTAGCTCCAATTTCGATTTAAAACACTTTGACTTTGCCTTATATATAGGGTGTTCATGGATAGGAGAATAACAAGATAACTGAAGATAACTTTATTTATGGTAAGGCATGATTAGTCCCCAGCTCCATTATATTTGGAAATAGGACTAATTGAAACTCTGTACCTCAACTTAGGAGCTATATTATGTTTTAAAACCCAGTAGAAACCATACTTCCAAGATTTTGTATGTAGATAAAAAATCCCTAGAGAATATTTTATACTAATTATAATAAAAGAGTGAATTTTTTGAATAATACAGCTCAAATATAAATTATCAATGCCTTTAATATTTCAAATCATAGTGCTATGTATATATGCACTATGTTTTACTTTTCTCTCTAAAATGATTCCATTAAGTTTTTTATCTAATTGAATATATAAATGTTTGTGGCTATAGATTAATAATTCAAATTTTAATCAAAAATTTACCTATTAGTTTGGAAATGAATACCTAATTTAGTGGTATGCTTTACAAAATAATGTGTGAATTTATAAGCTTCATGCTGTCTGGTACTTATATATATATATATGTCCTTTGTGGCTATAAACCCAGAGCCTAGAATATTTATATATATATATATATATATATATATATATTACATACTCAGTAAATATGTCTTGAACTAATGAATGAATTTAGAAATACTAAGGCTTGGATTATAGCTCAGTGTTAGAGCACTTGCCTAGTATGCATGAGGTCCTGCCTGGGTTCAATCTCCAGCACTGCAAGTAGTGGGGAGAAATACTCTATTACTCTTTTCCACCCTCATACTTCTGAAAACAATTTAAACTCTTCAACAACATTTCTTCAAGAATGTCTTTGGCATCACTAAAACTGTTTTTTGAATAAACAGCTCAGCTTTCCAGACTATATCATCCTTATTTCTATATATATGGTCCCTTTATTTTTTTTATTTTTTTATTAGTTGTTCAAAACATTACAAAGCTCTTGACATATCATATTTCATACATTTGATTCAAGTGGGTTATGAACTCCCATTTTTACCCCGTATACAGATTGCAGAATCACATCGGTTACACATTTGCGTTTTTACATACTGCCATACTAGTGTATGTTGTATTCTGCTGCCTTTCCTATCCTCTACTATCCCCCCTCCTCTCCCC